CTAACTAGTTTGTGAAAAACTTTGCAGGAAAGTTAATGGCTTATTGTTTTCCCTTCTAATTGTGAATCAGACATACATTTGTCAGGCCATATTTTAATCTGGGCCTGGACACATATATAATATATATATGTATGTCATGGTAGAGACTGCAGTCTGGTAGAATCAGAGATTCTGTTGGTAGAAAAGGTTTCATTTTTCACATAACTTTTCACACATATCAAATAATGACAAGAAGATAGCATAATGATACATTCAATATCTCACAACCTTTTCAGTATTTGTAGGTTTGTATACGGTGATACCTAAATAAAATGATTATTTTGGTACTATAGTCACATAATCTGTGTTTCTGTTCCTGTACACAAGGTTTGCAATGCCAATCACAGTCACTACCAATCTTCAGAATCGACAGTCTCTACTAGAATCTCTGATGACGTATATGTCATGGTAGAGACCGCCATCGTAGAGTCTCAGATTCTACCAGATCACTGTCTCTACCATGACATATACATATCTGAAGAATAATGAGTGATGTATCAGAGTGTTTTGCTCACTGAAAGTTGGCGCTAGCTCCAGTATTGATCCGGCTCTAAAAATAAGTAGATGTTTCAGTTTTTCACTTCGAAGCCTTTTGTCTGTATGTGTCCAGGTATTATTTCCTGTCCTGGTTTTAATCGCAGGAAATGAGCTTGAACTCATTATTTACTCCAGCGTTCGTCAGCCTTCACTCATCTTAATGGATGCTCTGATAACTCGTTGAACCCTCAGAGAAACGTGGAGTTCAGTTTGTTGTTTTCCGCTCCAAGGATTCGTTCACATAAAGATCGGTTTTCTTTGGAAGCTGTTGACCCGCGGCTTCCTCCACGCCGGCGCTTTGAAATCTCGCCCTGAGTAAACTCAACTCTGACAGGCGCTCTCTGACACAAAGCCGGAGCTGTGCTGCTGAGACACTTTCAACTCATCGACGCTGAGGCTAGAAATGTGATAATAGTGCTTCTCTTCAGCGGACCTCCTCCTCGGCCCCTCTATCAGCAGCGCTGGCTCCTTCGGGTGTTTGTGCTGCTTCGGTGCTATTTAAAGTTTGCAACCTGCAGTTTTAATTTAGAACGCACAGTGAATCCTTTGAGAGGTGTTGCTGGTGTGGGGCGCTGCCATCTGATCTCGCCTCTCCATTCAGCAGTCGGATTAGAAGTTTGTACAAGAAGTTGAATAAGTTTTTTTTTTTTTTAATTTATTGACCTCTTGTGTTTCTGTGTGCAGAGGTGAAAGAGTACGAGCCGCCGTTTGGAAACCTGAGGGAGCATCCATGCGTGGAGAGCATGAAGGACAGCGTCCTCCGAGACCGGGGACGACCTGAGATCCCCAACAGCTGGATCAACCACACAGTGAGTAGACGCACATGATGGGAGGAGCTGCTGCAGGACGACGGTTAGGCTAGAGCAGGACTGTTTTAGAAGACGTGTTGTTGGAAATCAGCAGTGTTTATCGTCGTTCTGAAGCGAGGAACTGCAGGCAGAGCAGACAATAGCTCAGATTATGATTCAGCTGTTCACATGACAATTGACAGGAATAGCTGCAGTTTTTTTTCTTTTTAAAGGAAAGCAGTTAAAATCCTGCCTCCTGTCTTACCTCTGAAAACTTTATTTATGCTTTAGAATTTAAAAATGAAATAACAATAGTGCATTGTTTTCTATTGAACAGCTCTTCCTCGTTGGTTCGGCAGCTCGTTCACACACACACACACACACACACTTTATTTCACGTCTTGTCGAAGCACAACTTTGTTATTTAACCTCCTGAGCCCCAGAACATTCCAGCAGATTTGAAAAAAATGAAATCTAAAAGCTTAAATTTTAGCTAAAAAACACGATATTGAAGGACAACATCTCAGGAACTATTAAAGACAAAGTCCTGAAGTTTTCACAATTATTTCTCATCATGATTTTTGACAAGTAGATCAAACAGTCTCTGATTCTGGGGGAGCTGAAAAAACAAAAGTCTCACCTTTGGGCTCACGGTAACAAACAGTTGATGATGCAGAAGTCAGTCGGTGATATTTTTTTTCTGAATTGTGTGTAACTGCATGTCACAGTGACGCAAAACTAAAAACGTTTTAATTTAAAATACTTTCATTTTTGTTGTACCACAGAAGCGAGGTAACCTAATCTAAATAGGACAGTTCAAAATGCTTCTACAAATATGACATTGGATGGCTTGAGAGGGAACTAATCATATGCTATAGACTTTTTAAACATTTCTGATTAGCCTGAGAATGCATCAGTACGAGGATGAAAGCAGGGAACATATGCAGCAACAACATGAGAACGTGAAAGGAATGTTTCACTGCCCTGTTTCATACGTCAGGTTCCTTTCTGCTGACGATACTTTTACTTACAGTCGGCCTCAAATTCATTCATACCCTCCGATTACTAATAATATAATACATTTTATTTGTGTAGCACCTTTAAGAGCAGAATTCACAAAGAGCTTTTACATGATATAGAAATACGACAGAGAGAGAGACGAGGCGACACAGGACAACAACAAAAAGTGTATAAAAAGTGCAGGTGAAGACTCAAGATGTAAAAATACACTAAATGAAAATGAGAAAGAGCAGGCTGGGTCACTGTTGGAAGGTGTATTATAATAAAACTGATTAAAAAGCTGGAGATAAAAGTAGATTAAGAAAAGAGAAAAGAGAGACGGACAGCAGGCGGTAGCAATATAAAGGGAAAAGAACATCTAGAAGAGAAATAAAAGAGAACGTCACTCAAAAAGTGGGTTTTAAGAAGTGATTTAAAGGATGATACTGAATCTGCAGCCTTAGTTCCTCATAGAAGGAAAAAAACAGCTGAAATAAGTTGAAACTGACAAAAGTAACAATAAATAAAAATTGAATAAACATCATGACGTTGCTTTTGAATTGTGGTTCAACAGAAATATTAAAGCAAACCAGCCTGATGGAACCCTTTTTTCAGTTTCTAGTTATTTGAGTGACTGTTGTGAATTTTCTTTCATAGAAGGGGATGAACAGATTAGAGGACGACTGTACAGGAGTTTGACTTGTAATTGGGTTTTTTCACAGTCACACCAATAGAAATATGCAAATACACGGGATCATTAACAGTTTCAGCTCGAGGTGAGGACACAGACCAACTCTCTTGCTGTGGTCCGTTCGCAGGGCATCCAGATGGTGTGCGCCTCCATAGAGGACTGCTGGGACCACGACCCGGAGGCCCGTCTCACAGCCCAGTGTGTCGCAGAGCGCTTCGACGACATGGAGTACCTGGACAAGCTGTCGGAGCGCTCCAACTCGGAGGAGAAGATCCCCGAAGAGATCTTTGTGGTGGATGAGAAGTAGGCGCTGAGCAGAAACGCTGCCCCCGTCAGGGCGGCCGAGGCATCACAGCCGAGCAGCTGGTGGAGGAAGGAGCTCCGGTGGATGCGCTGCTGGCACGGTTCATCGCAGATGAGCAGCAGATGAGCAGCAGATGAGCAAACTGGGAAGTCGAGTAGAAGAAAATGAACTGCTGCCAGACACGAGCTTCCACAAAGCATCAGGATCAAGTCGGGACCAAACAGGGAGATCACATTATAAAGCTTCTTTAACCAAATACTATTTGCACTTTATGAATATCTATGCACACCAAATTCTATGTATTCCATTTCTGTTTTGTTTTGACTACACATTTCAGGTATAGGAAGTAAAGGGACTGCACATGTTTCTGAAGCCAAAAGGGACCAAATGAAAGATGTTAATAACACTAATACCCCCCTCATAGTCGCCCAGTTTGTTTCCCGGGGTGGTTTTAGATAAAAGACTAGACGACACCAGATTCAAGGTGCAATTGGAATTATTCACGAGGAAAAGCTGGAGAGCTGTTTAAGGCAATAATATGCAGGGAATGCTGATAGAATATCTCCAGGACTATGAGCTGCAGAGTAAAGAAATCAGCCTGAAAGGAAAAGAAAACAGATATACAGTATATATATATGTGTGTGTGTGTGTGTGTGTGTGTGTGTGTGTGTGTGTGTGTGTGTGTGTGTGTGTGCGCGCGCGCGCGCATATTACTCAGAGGAAAAGTGAAAGTGTGTTTTTATCTGACCAAGAGGAAAAAAAGGGAATAGAGCGTATATTGAGGACTCTGAACTGGAGGATGCCTGTATGTTGTAAAAGCTGAACGTCTTCGTTTTCTTGTTTTTTGTTGTTTTGTTTTTTTTTTTTACAGAGAAGAGAATTCTGATCCAAAGCTCAGAAAGTATATGTATCAAATTAATTTTGTATAAAAGTCTAAAGCCATTATTAAAAGTGTTACCGTACTCGACTACGTTTGGTGTTTGTGATGCTTCAGACGCTTGATTTGTGAACGTCTGGGCAGGTTTGAGCAGCTTTCAGCTCGTTTGTTGAGTGTGTTTACTTGCAGCTAACGTGCCAAGTGGACGGTAGCAGATGAAGTGTTCACATCTCAGATCAGTGATGAATCAGTGTGTGAGCATCTATGCATCCTGTCGCTATGTGTTGTTTTAAAGCTGTTGGGTTTTTTTATAGGAAATATCCATTATCTTTACACCTTAATCCTCACTAGAGTCATGGGGGGCTGGAGTCTATCCCAGCTGACTCAGGGTGAAGGCAGGTTCACCTGGACAGGTAACCAGTCTATCACAGGGCTACACTTAGAGACAGACAACCAAGCACACTCACATTCACACCTACGGACAATTTACAATCACCAATTAACCTCAGCATGTTTCTGGACTGTGGGAGGAAGACGGAGAACCCGGAGAAAACCCACGCTGCACGGAGAGAACATGGAGACTCCACGCAGAAAGATCCCGGGTGTCCTCACCAGGACGCAGACCGGCAACCTTCTAGCTGCGAGGCGACGGTGCTAACCACCAAGCTACAGACACATGGTTCAGTCTCTTCATGGGGAACGGTGAAGACAACAACTCCCATGATCCCACGCTGCTCGATGACATCACCAAACCACATCTTTTGGACTGAGAGGCCTCACGGCTGCAGAAATCACAGACTGCACCTTTAAGCTCACTTCACTTTGGGGTTTTATCCAAAGCACGTCTGCGCCGTCACTCATCTCCACGGCGACACTTTCCTGCTGATTGACAGCTTTTCCACGGTGAGTGTTTGTCCTGGATCAGGCTCAGGTGAGTTGGTTCAGCAGCTCCAGTCTGCTGGCTCTGATGGACCTTTCATCCTGAGCCCACAGCTGACTCACACCGGAACATGTGTCTGCTTCTGTCTGTGGCTTCCTGCCTACCCGTCTGCCCATCTGTCCGTCTGTCTGTCTGCAAGGAAGCTTCTTTTAATTCACCCACAGAACTACGCCTCCGACACTCAATCTGTTGTGTCAAAACAACAAAACAACATCTAACTGCCTTTGTTTCATTCAGAATGCATTATCTGAGGCAGGAGCTGTGAGGCATCTCTGCTGAAAATGCATGACCTGTTAAGCGAATGCACTCGGGAACAGTGGGAGAGTAATTTTTTGCGAATGCGGTGGGCTGATTTGTTGTCTCACGGGGAGTTTTCCGTTGCCCTTTCCCTGCAGTTTACACGCTCTATTTACATAAACCCACGCCACAGGAGCTGTTTCGGTGTGGGCTGCACCGCGGATGCATCGGACACCGCTGCGGGATACATATACGATAAATGATTTATAATTTCTGCATTATAAATGGATTTACCACAGGGGTGTCAGATGTAACAAGAGTAACATTCCTCTTCATTTTTCACAATCAAATAATGGGATGCCAATTTCCCTGCAGCAAAGAAGTTGTGCTCTCAAGAGGGAGATACATATTTAAAGAAAGTGAAAGCCTCTAAATGCCTTCTGGAGTAGCCTACTTCTTTTTTTTTTTTTTTCCCTTCTACTGACACAACATTTGTTAGCTTCAGTGGGAAACTAATGTCTTCATTTCGATGGCAAATTAAAACGAGGTCTTGCAGCAGCCGCGGCTCCTGTAGGAAAAGGTCTGGGTGCAGCTCGGCTAACAGTGTGGGACAAGTGTAAAGCAATTAGACATGAATCATATAGCACATAGAGTCAGTCAGCAATAATCCTGTTAGCTTTAATCCTGTTATGCTGTACCCTGTAAATGAATTCTCTCAGTTTTTGGCTTTGGCGGCTTTATAATAACAAGAAGAGAACAAATAAATTACATACCACGGCACGTCTTTTTTTTGTTTCAAACTTTTCTCTGTTGGTTCTGAATTAATAATAATTATAATAAAGACATGTTCAGTCAGTACGAAGCCTCTAGTCTGTGGAATCAACCCAGGGTTTGTTTTAATTAAGGCAACATGGGAGCTTGTGCACACTTATTTACTGCACTGCCAGCAAACACCACAGCACATTAACCTACATAACCTGCATTTTGCCTTTGCGCCAGTAGAGGGAGCAGTGGTTCTACCGGATGCTGCACACAAAGGCACCGTTTGTGCCTCCTGCAACCAAAGTGCTGAAGTGCAGGATCCAGTGAACTAACATTTATGCTTTGAGGGGTGGAAAAAAAAAAAAAGTTTGAAAATGAAGCAGTGCACTGTGAAAATGAAGGGGCTGAGCTCAAGATGTGACAGGTCTTTCCATTACCGAGACTCGGTGGAAGTTACCAAACACTGGAGCGGTTCTGTGTCCCAGTGGGGCCTAATTGCGTTTAACAGTTGCTGTTGGCAAACATTACTTAACAAATTTCTCTCCGTCTGATTCACTCCCTCCGTCCAGTTTCTCTCTCTCCCAGCATCAGAAGCTATGCGCCGGAGCCACCGGGCCGCGGCCCTCCATTAACGCCGGCTGAGCTCGGTACCTGCGGCGCCGTATGGATCCTTGTCAGCTGCTCCATCAGGATGCTTCCTAACCCGATTAACCCCTTGAGTGGGCGTCAGCAGCAGCAGCAGCAGGCGGAGGAGCGGATGGCCAAGAACAGCTCGTCACCGTTCGCACACAAAGCCGGCAAACGCTCACATCACCCTCAGGTGGTCGTAATAATCCAGAAGGAGATGCTCTCCTGCCAAAGTCACTTATCATTCCTACATGCCGGTTGCCATGGCGATGCCTCAGACATCAATCAAAGCTTGCTGGGAAATGCGTCGGTTGGTGGGAGCTATAAACAATATTTTAAGCATCTCAGTAAGGAGATGACAAAGAAGACGAATCGCTCCCGGCGTCACCTCTCGTCTCTCGGCTCCGTGGGTCCAGTTAACACCAGAGGCCGCTTCTTTTCTTCCGCTGGGTCGATTACGGATCCCGTTTTTTGATTTAGATGTTCACTTGACGTTTCACAAAAGCAGCGTGCGGCTTCAGAGCTGGCAGCAGGAGTCCCGCTCTCGAGGGAAGCTCTCGGGCCCTGAACCACGACTCGATGCAGCGATTGTCCAGGGGATGATGTGGCTGCTGAGATAGGAGCAGCAGGCAGCCCCGGCCCCGAGATGGAGAGATGAGGAGCCATTACCCCCGCTGTCCTCTCAGATATTTTTTATCTCGTGGCAGCGGGCTTGATAGTTCAGATATTACTTTAATTTCCTTATGCCTGAATGAGCTATTGTGTCATTATGCACTCAGCCATGAGCCTCCCAGAGCGCCTAATAGAAAAAAACAAGCCCACCAAGGACAAACAGCTGCGTCACCAGCGCTCCTATGTTTGATATGAAGGTGTTTCTCTTTGGGAGGATGCTCGTCTGAGTCTTGTTTGGCAGTTTTATTGGGATGCGTCTCCAATAAAACTTGGAGTGATTTTGGTCATTTGAGCCCACGAGCCCGGCCGGCAGTAATTCCCTACATCAGTCATCTCCTCGTTACATGTATGGCGCCATGATGATTTGGGACTAATTTGGCTCGACGGTTATCTCCGAGCCGCATTAATTTGTCTGTTCATAAATAATTTACTGATTGCTGTGCCGTTCTCGTTAGTGCTCCGCGAGAGGCTGACGTGGCTTCGCAGAGGACTTCAGTAATATCCAGACAAGAAAAGCAAAGGTCACGGAAAGTTGATATAAAAAAAGTAAATGTAAAAGCCTAACGACTGACTACCGGAGCCTGTAAAGGTTACATTTGGATTAAAAAAAAAAAAAAAGAACCCGAACATATTGGAGGGCAGAGTTCTGAACTTTTGGAGGAAGCTGCTTCTTCCTGCTTCCACTCATCATGCAGAGCTCGGCCTCCTCCTCCTCCTCCTCCGACTCTGGCTTCGTTTCCATTACATGGACAGTTGAAAAGCCACCAGAGGAGCTGCTATCTCTCCTCCTCCTCCTGCTGCAGCCTCCCTCCCATCTCTCCCATATTCATTGGAAAGGCCGGCTAAGTTTAACTTTATTTGAAAGGCGGGAATTGCGTTCTGTCAGATGACCGATCGAGGGCAACCAGCAGGAGAATCGATTGGACACGGGCTCAGCACAGAGATGCATACTCCTGACCGAGGGGGCCTCTTGGTATTGAGCCGCCTCTACAAAGTGCTCTTTGGTCAGAAAATAACACCAGAGTTGGCCTTTAATTTAATGTATTTACTCATTATTCCAAAGGTCGTTAAAAAGGAGGGGAGAGAAAACAAAGCACAGGCATCGGTTGTACAGCGGATTCACAAAGTAAAAATGCAAATCACGAGACGAGGTAGAGGCTATTCTGAGCAACGTATGTCATATAGTAGTTATCTCTGTACGAGCTGCACAGTCACGCTTTGTGAAGTCAGAGAGGACGCTGGCATGTCTGCTCCTCTTCTGTGTTTTTTGGGGTTTTTTTTGTGAGTCCTGCCATCGTAATTTTGCCACTGAGGTTCCAGGGCTGTCATTGAAGCAATATCACATAAATCTGTTGTCTTCTGAATTGAGACAGCTCGCGTCGGCCACTCAGGCAAGTGAAAGAAGGGTCATTTGTCAAGCAGAGGCAGCTGGGAAATTGGGAGGCATACTTCAATTTTCAACACACGAGACGTATTCTTTCTCTCCCGCGGGGATAATGTCAGAGCAAGTTCAACTGTTTTTCCACGCATTACATTTCTCATATCTGAAAGGCAAGTCTCCTCAAAAGGCATCACGCTGCTCGAACCGTTCCAAAGTGAGGGGAAATTCTGATAAGGCACCTGTTATTCTGAAAGAGGTAGAAATGCGAGCCAGCTTCTCGGAGTCTGACATTCTGCCTGCAGACAGTTGATATCTCTGTTGAGCTCCGGTTAGCTCCTCACTCCTCCTTATTTCTCCCTATCTGCCTTCCTCTCTCTTTCTCTCCTCACTCTATCAACTGAAACTTTCTTATATAGTTTTTTTTCTTTCCTTCCCTTCCTATGCAGCATGCCAATAGTATTTGAAGCATCACTGCAGGCACTTTCAGCTGTCGACAGGTCAGAATCAATCTTGATGAATGTGGTGAACTGTGAATGTTTTCGGGCAATTTTCAGTGTTGATATGCTTGTGAGAGTTGCTCTCAGATAAAAAATAAAAAACTACTGGATTAAATAAATGTTTATCCGTCTGTATTCGTATTTGAGACCCGTTTTATTCGTATACATGACAGCAGGTTGTTAAAATCCAATAATTGCATAATGATTGTGTAATTTAACGGGATGATTATTGTGATTAAAAGCCTGATTAGGAATTAAAACGTTTGCTCGGGTGACTGCTTGAATTTGTGATTCTGGGGGAAATAGGCATGCGAAGGCCCGACAGACAGATTCACATTGATGTTTGATCCCAGTTGTCAAAAAATGGAAGTTCTCATTGACAAGATGAGTGCATTGATTGCTTTGTTCCCCTTTGGAGAGCGTGCTAGATGAAGGTGTTTTTGTAATCAAATAAAAAAAAATGAAAAGATATTTTCAATCAAAACTGTCATTGTCTCTGCAGCTCGCAGCCTCGCAGGGAGACTAACTTTTCATATCCTTCGGCGGATGACAGATGAATGCAATGAATGCAATAGCATTTGGAGGCAGATGCAGCTTTATAAATTGAGCTAAAGCTCTCTGATCTCCGGGATGATAGATCACGCCGTATTCTGTTGCAAAATATAGGAGCTTGTCACACTATTTCATATTTTATAACAACAAGCAATTTTCTTTAAAGAAGTAGTCTGGGCTCCGCCGTACACGGTGCATATGAATAGCTAAGTAAGTCATGCGGCGCTATACATAATCACAGCGGATCAAGATTAACAGTCCCGTCGCACAAGGTGAACCCCGTGTCCGATCCTGTGCCAGCACACCTTCCATCAAAGTCAAGATTAAGACGTCGCGCGCTTGTAGAGTCTCATCCGGATGCGTCGCCGGGGACCGAGTGGGTTATGTCCAAATCTATGAAATTTAACTACCTCTCTGTGGCCCATTGACTGCCAGAGAAATGAGGCGTGCTGGCTGTGAAATGATGTGTCACTGATGAGGCCTGCACAGGTAACCCCATGCACTCAGAGAGCATCGTCAACCAGGAGTTAATCCAGGTCATTACTCTTGTGTTTGTGTTGTTCTTTTTCCCCCCTTCAGTCCTCTGATTCATCACTAAGACACGCACCGAAGATGTCGTTTAACTCCGTTGTCATGGGAACCCCTTCAACCCTGAATACACAGATTTGAAAATTAACCAAGGAATTATTTTAGCGTCACAAGCAGCGCGACCCGGAGGCAGTTATTCTGATGCTGAACATGCTTTTTAAATGGAATTACAACCCGCCGCACAACTCTCTGCTGGCTACAGGTACATAAATAGTTCAGAGCAGTTGGATGCTGCACCTTGTTGGGATGCTAAGTGCTCTCATTCCTGTTAATGATTGTGGTGCGAATCGCTGTGTGTGTGTGCAGCGGCGGTCCCCAGGCGCCGGCTAATCATCCCGTTAGAATGGATCACAGTGTAACGGGATGAATAGGATTTTTAAAGTTTGCTTTGGCATTTTTTGAAGTCTGCTGCGCTCACAGTGAGCGAACATCATGTTCCGCCGTGCTTTTTGATTGAATGTACACCATTTGGATTCCCCCCAGGACGTGTAGACGATGCACGAGACAATTAGTGAAGAGCAGTGCCAAGGAAAGGACAACAACAAAGCAAACACACAAAAAAAATAAGATCCTGGTCTTGGCGTATGAATGTGCTGGTGTCAGTGTGCTATCTCTGTGATGGATCGGTAATCAATCAAGTTGTTTTCCTGCCCTCCAGCGAGTGCATGATGGGAATGACTCCAGCCCCCACTAATGACCCTCAACAGGGAAAAAAAAAGAAGTTTGTATAGATTAAACACAAATCTATGCTTCTCTTTTGTGATTTTCTAAGCTTCTCTTGTGATTCGTGCTGCAGAGATGTCAAGAACATGATGTGCCTCCTTCTCACGAATCTTCCACCCCGCTGTCTGTCTGCGCCTTAAAAACTAATTACATCCTTCATACGAGCACTTCACGTGCCGCGTGTGCATGAAATTGGAGGCTTCCTTTTGGAGCGTGCAGCAACTTTGTTCTCATCAGAGACCGCCGATTCAAGGAGGATTCTTTGCTTTGCCCAAAATGGTTACATAACACCAATTGCTTGAGAGATTTGAGATTATTATGCATTTTTGAGACAAATTGCTGAAGCTAGTCGAGGCAGCACCTACTGTGGATGTTTTGGGCTTTGGGATTTTCTCCCAGTCACATTTTTAGTGGCTTCATTTTAAGCAAAAGCTGTTAAAAAATGAGCATAATGAATATAATCTTCTTGATCAGCTATGACACCTCTCTCTCTCTCTCGCTTCCTCCTGCAACTCACACATGCCTTCAAAGAGCAAAGAGAGAATGACAGACAGGAAGGTGCAAAGATTGTTTCAGGCTTCATTTTAAGCTTTTGTTTTTATTGCACAACTGGCCTTTGGCAAAATAAATAAAAAAAAGAAAAGTATAGACACCTAAGAAGCATAAACTCTGCAAATCTGAAATGTTCTTGGGAGAAAATAAAAAAAACAGAGAAGACAAAGCAAACAGAAACATCCAAGTCTGCCCCTGGAGACCGGGGGGGAGAAGCAAAGCTGCCCTGCCTGGCAACAGCACTCATTTTGGCTGGCTTTCATCTGGGTCTGGCCTTTTGACAATAGATGCGATTGAAGCAATCTTCACAGCCTGCATTTCTATTTGTTTCAAAGGTCATCCATTCAGAATTTGGAGGTAGAGGGGAAGAGGTGAAGGAGTGGAGGCATAAACGTCACGGCGTAAGCGGGCCTTGACAAATGATCGAGGCGCCTGTGTGTAAGCGTGAACACGTCGCTGTGAGCCTGCACACGCATGTAATCATCGGGATGAATGCGTGTGTGTGTGTATGTGGGATTACACATGTTTACACGCCCGTGTGCGTATTGTCTTTCCTGCCTCTGACTTTCAGCTGCAGCGTGTGATACCGTCTTTCCTGTGATCTCCTCATGATCCCAGAACTCTTATCCGCTCGTGCCACTCCAGCTACACTCCACGATGACCCCCATCAATTTTCATAATCATTCTTTTACTTCCCTTCATTATCGTCCGTCCATCTCCCCCCGTCTCTCCAAAGCCGTGTTTTCAACGGGCTCTTATCTCCTCCTCGTCTCTCCAGAAGATGGCCTTGATCTACAGCCGTGTTAAGCCGGCTCAAACTTCACTGCAATTCTTCTACATGAATATTTCATTGGTTTTTTTTTTTTTTTCAAATCATGATCTTATGGGGGTGACAGGGTAGCTGTAAACAGTGTTGATGCAAAGCCGGGATGGGAATTTGCCCAGTTTGTGAAGTTTTTAAATCAGCAAACAGAATATGCTCGGATAAACTGTATGGAATTAACAGTGCGTTTTATATTATAAATGGAAAAGGATAAAACCAAATAAGCAGTTATCAGAATGTATTTCATCTGTTTAAACATTCCCATAAATTACCGGGTGGGTGCTGTAATCAGGTGCAGTGCATATACACTATAAAGTCACGGTTTAAATTTCTAATAATGTTTTGCAGGTCAACAACTTAATTGCGTTACTGTTTGTTTAAAAATAGACTTCTTTGATCACATAATGACTCGTGTGTAACCTCGGTGTAAGATGAAACGCTGTGCTGTGGGTTGCATTTACATAAAGCAGCATGAGATGGAGGAGGACCAGGCCTTCTGTTCCCACGGACATGTTTGTCTAGAACCGGATCAGACCTCAGATTAACCTGTAATACATCGTGCCTCTGTCTCGTGGTGCAAAATAGATGTACGCAATCAATCAATAAAAACCTGTGCGTTTACCTGAAATGCTCAGAAAATGTGCTATATTTCAGTATGGGCTTTCAAGGCTTTGGGGCAAGTTGTGAAAGTACATCCTGAGTTTAAGAGAATGATGAATGCTGCGTGCTCGTCTTTGCTGGGGGACATAGTAATGATGAGACACATCAATCTTTATTACCACTTCACCACTCAGTCCTGAACATCCAAGGGCAACAGAAATATTGCACTCAGAGAGCACATTTATCTTCGCACACCTGCCTATAGCTTTTAGCTGCAAGGAAATGACACAAACTTTGTGTTCACCAAGTTCTTTTTGTTATTCTCTATTTAAATGGCTAATTAAGCTCGAAACAGCTCACTTTAATTGGGTAATAAGGATTTTATTTATAGTTAGTAACAGTGATTCCATTTCATATATATATATATAACAGGGATAATCCTTATTTCAATGAACCACAATTTATGTGCTGTCATTAGTGGAGTCATCTGTCCATCTCGTCGCTCTTGCGCTCTGATTGGTTTAAAGACTCAAAGCCCCGCCCGCTCATACGTCTCGACCAGTGAGGGGCCGCCAGAGCTTCCCAACGCCCCTCCCATCGCCCCAGTCCCGCCCCTTTCCACCGGCGTTCAATCGTGAAGCGGATTGAGCGTTGCAGCCTCGGTATGTGGCGCATGAGTGTGCGTTTCGGGATGTAACGGCGGTCTGTCGGAGCGGCGACACCGAATTGAAATACATATATATCCACAGCCGGCGGACTCCGGAGGCAGGATACCCGAGGAAGGCGGACGCGGAACCCGGGGCGGGAGTTTTACGACAGCACGGAGCGGAGGGAAACACGGGAGCGTGGCAGGAGGGGGGGGACGCTCTAGCAAATCCAACCGACACCGCACGCAGAAATGGCGGAGCACCACGCAGCCAGCGACGGCAAGCACAAAGCGTCCACCAACGCCGGGGGCTCGGTGCACGGGAACAGCAGACCCGGCGCCGCGGGTGGAGGAGGAGGAGGAGGGGGCAAAGGAGGCCTGTCTGGCGGACTGACACAGCCAGCTGGGTGGCAGTCTTTACTCTCCTTTAGCATTCTTTTCCTGGCCTGCCTGGCTGGATTCAGCTCCAGACTTTTCGCGGTGATCCGGTTCGAGAGCATCATCCACGAGTTTGATCCATGGTAAGCTAGCTCTGGGCGCAGGTTCATTTCCTACTAACGCTCGCTTTGTAATGGCAGGAGCATGTCGATGTCCAGGTCGCTCCAGGGGGGTTATTTGTTATTTTTTTATGAACATTTCAGATATTAATCCACCTGCATCTTTTTGTAAGTTAGCACATTAATAGCGATGCTAAGTTTCTAACGCAGCTTTAACTTTATTTAGATGTTTGCTAACAGCTCGGACTCAGTTGTTTTTCCCCCACAGTGGACCAACGGTAGGTTTTTTTTTATTTTTTCCTCCCTCTCATGTCCTTGGGACCAACACTTTGAATACGGGGGTCAGCGGCTTGATGCGCCGTCTGCCTCAAGGACCTTGACATTTAAATGTGGTGACAGCAGCTAGCTAGCCGGTCCGGTCCGACCGCTCGGGTAATGGTGAGTCCCAGTAACAGTGAGTGCACATCAGAGCTGCACGGAGCCGTGTGAGGAGGAGCTGCAGGTACAACTTTGGCTGGATTGGAGGGAAATGAGGAGGAGATTTCTCTGCCCTCACTGCTGCATTTTAATTCACTGCGAGGAGGTAAAATGGTTGTGAAAATGGTTTATCCAGGGATTACATGGGTGGGTGGTGGGTATGATTGATTGAGGCTGTTTCACTGCTGGAGTAGGTTCTCTTTTTGGAGTTTAACTGAACTTGATTCATTAAATTGTGAGTTTTTTTTTTCTTAATGCATGCTGGACTAGCTGGGTCTCTCTGCAGGTTGCAGCCGGTGTTCATCACAACAGCAGGTTGTTTGTAACCCGGAAGCCCGCTGATCCGGTCTGGTGTGTCTGTCATCACAATGCAGGATTATTCCGCTTTGTAGCAGTGTCACATGGGCTCACAAGTGTCCGCCTGCTCACGCTGCCATTCCCTCTCATAGACTCCGTGGCATAGGACCAAGCAGCAGCAGCACGACTGATGCATTCATTTATTAATTTTCAAGGACAGGTGCTTCATCTTGCTCAGGGTGACACTTGCCTCTTCAATTATGTTGATAACTTGATTGCATTTTATAGCCAGGGGCCAAGACTTGGGGATGTAAGAGCGTCCGCATGGTTCAGCGGAGCCTGATCCTACTTTGAGGCTGGAATCTGCACCAAAGGCTGACCTCGGTGCTGCTAATGCGTGGTCCCATGTGTCGAATCCTTATTACAATCTGCAGTCTTTCTTTCTTCTTGCACCCTTCATACATCCGATTAGCGTCTGGGGTTGGTCAAAGAATCGGTACATATACTACCTATGGTGTTTTGCCACACTTCACAGCAGCATTGGGAGCTGTTTTGCTTCGGTATAAGGCTATAAAGTGGAACCAGTTTCCACAGCTACAGAGCGAGAGCCGCACAGCTCTTTGGCAACATGTCACCGAAAAGAAAGCAAAGGCACTCTTTGATATTTAGAAGTTTAAAAGCCCTCGCAGCTATGAGCAGTCTGCATCTGTTGTTCTCAATTTTTTTATTTATTTATTTTTTCTCTTGGACCCCAAAAACAAAAGCAGAGCTTCAGTGGAACCTTCTGTCGCTGGCTTAAGTGTGCAAAGTGGGAAATTCAGCTGCAAAGTGACGGAAAACACATTCATCAGAACAGACAGACGTGTATTTGCAGTTGAGCATTCATAAATCCAGAAACATCGAGTCAGTCCTGATCAGCTTGTTCAGAACTCCTGCACCACATTTCAACAATAGTTTATACTCTGGAGGATCCTTCAGCGTGTTTGTCAGCCCGCCGTAGAGCTGGACTCTGTATAGATTAACAATAAACCTGGCCCCACTGAGTGCTGTTTTTGCCAAGAATGCTGAAAAGGAAACTATTCAAATATGCATCATCTTATTTGACTCTAAAATGATATGTATACAGAGCAGATGTCTTTGATTACAGTCTCACCTTTTTGACAGTGAAGCCAGAAAACGTGGATTTTTACAACTGGAAGTGGCCGTCGCTCCCCGACACACATGATTAGCGCCGTTGTCGTTTGAATGCTCGGCTGCCGTTATTGTTTTTCCTCCTGTGCAGAGCTTCAAATTATTTGCAGCGAACCATTACGTTAAACAAGCTGGCAATTTGAAGAATCAAGATTGAATTTACTAGCACCAAAATGTCAAGCTTTATTCTGCAGCGCGCAGACGCCACTGATTTAGCAGCAGAGTCCCTGTTATCTGGCTGCGCTAATTTTAGGTGCTAATATTTGTTTATTTTAAAATCAGGGGGGATTAGTTGGCATTTGGGGGGGGGGATTTCTTTTTTCTTTGCTTTTCCATTAATGGAAGCAATTATTTCTAAAATTGTGACCTAACTTCAAAGTGCATTTTACTTTCCTCATCTAGTTCCAAATAATACTCAGTTGTGGCAGCGGCTGACTTCTGCTAAGAATACTGTCCAGGTAGAACCTCTTGATCCTCCTGGAACAAACATCTCTTTTTGCTAAGTACCAGGTTTTGCCAAGCCGCTACTGGAGCTTCTAAGAAGAGAAAATGTTGTTCCCCCTCCCTGAGTTTACATAAATGTCTGTCCAGCGTATTGAATTAGCAGAAGGAACATTTAACCTGTCTGAAAGCTGCATGGTACGGCATCTATGCATGTGTCGAAGGAGAGTTTTTCCTTGAAAGCATTTACGTCTTTTCCACCTTGGTTATGTCAGGAGAGGCACTCTGTTTCTTGCAGCAGAGCGAGAAGAGAGAAGAAGAAGCATCTCTGTCAGACACATAACTATGTGGATACTCGTGTACAGCGGCACAAACATTCACGCTCAAACGTGCACACTTTCACTTTCTTTTCAACCTGTCTGCATCAGAAGTGCTGCTGTTTCGCATGAGTTGAGCTTTGGTCAAAGTCTAGATGGATGTTGACTGTGTGTCAATATGGGATGTTGGTATTTCAGTCCAATGAAATGATGTGTGGGAGCTAAACGGTGAGCTGATGAATAAATTAGTAGGTCACAGGTAGTTGTAAGGTCTGCTAGTATTGCTGGTAATAACTTGATCAATTCAATGGTTGATCAATTACTACTGGTGTAAATAATTCATCAGATTAAAAGTATATGAACCTAAAAGGTGGAGGATGAGGGACATGCATGTTAGCGAATGTATTGTAGATATGCTGTAGTACCTGGTTGCACCAGCAGGTGGAGCCTTTTACTGTGTAACGAGGTGGGGCTACAGGTGCACGTGTCTCATAAAGCGCGTCTCCTTGCTGTCTAGCTACTATCTGTGGAAGCCATGTTGATGTGATTAGTAGAATCACCGTCCGGTTTAGCTAGCTACCCACGGCTCATGCAAACGCTAAGCTAGCACTTTCCAGTAACACAGGCTGCCAGTGTTCAGATGTTGTTGATTATTCCAACAACATTAAAGCCAAAGTAATATAGCGTGTCTGCTCTGAGAGGACATACATTTGAGAAGTGGCAGCAAGTACCGACACATTTCTGGCACTGATAAAGTTGGTGAAGTATTGTTTGTGGACATATGTTCCAGCTAAGCAGCTGTTTCCAGCAGCTGGACTAATGCTATCCATCCATCAAGCAAATTATATATGAGGGTTATTTTATATAAAGCTATTATGAGTCACTCAAGCCTGCTGCGGAGAGATTAATAACGTTACGGGGAGTTTACTGTGGAGGACTACGGCTTGTTTACTGCGTAATCTGGTGTTTGCTTTGTCTGTTCCTCAGATTCCTACTGAGCTGGTTTAGCTGCAAACATTAGCTGTTGGTGGTTAAAATCAGTTTTATCGGCATATGGAAAAATATCCGCTGTAATTCATCTCAGTGGAAGTTGTTCATTGATTGTTAACACTTCCTATTTAATATGAACTAAATACTTTGTTGTTTTTTTTTAACTGCTGCTCCTAAAAATAGGTAATTGTGCATAAGGACCCACCAGTTCAGTCTTTTTCTTTCTCATCTCGGTACAAGAGCCTCTTCAGCTTTCTTTTTGTTTGCAGTAACGTGCGGCCGGGGATCGTCTACGGCATTAACGTTAAGGTTAACAGTCGCAATGCAGAACTGATCACATCTGCAAAGTCGGAAATTTGGGAATAGCTGCAACATTTAGAAACGGCTGTAAGTCTGGAAATTGTCAAAGCGAGTTGAAAAGGTCGCGTTAATATAGGAGACGATTGGGACTGTAGTATTTGTGCCGTCTGCTGCTGGAGGGTTGGTGTGCCATCTGCACGCACACTCGCTGCAGCAGTGCTGCCAGGTTAAGAGAAGATTTTAAGCCCATGAGCCATTGGAAAACTGCCTAACCTTCTCTAAAGCTATCAAAGCACATTGTCTTATTCCTGCTCTTTCTTTCAGCTCATTGTGCTCGGCTGCACGCTCTCTTTCACCTGCCTCCTTCTCTGTACTGGCGAAATTTGGGTGCATGAGCATTCATTTTTCCTTAACCAACACTTTCACTAGCCGTGTGAATATTCTGATCAACAGGCCTGGAAACCAGCAAAACTGGCAGCACCGGCGCCACGGCAGCTGGAAAGTTATGCAGAATCTGTCCAACCCTTTTTTTTTTTTTTGGAGCCACTGACATTCATGTAATACAGGAGGAAAGCATCCAGTGATGTTCATCTGCTTTTTTTAGTGTTAATTCCCAAACAAGAGACGTGTGATTTAACACCTGAAATGTCAGTAGTCTCGCAGATGCCTTGTGCAATCTCCCACTATCTCAAACAACACTTTGATATCAGTTAGCACCTCAAAAAGAATGTTTTAGTCCCTCTGACCGCTTTAATAAGACAGTCTTTGCTGCTGAAAGTTGTTATGGGCTGTGAAAATGAAATCCCCACCTCAGCTTTTTTCAAAAGCCGGCAAATTAGCGAGGGTAGCAGCTAGCTCTTATATGTGTGTGTGTGTGTTCTCTCCTTCCCTCTCTGTCTCTCTCTCACTGTGTTTTTTCCTCTCCTTCCGTCTTTTTCACACAGAGAAAACACAACTTCCATCTCAGAGTAGATTAGGCCATCCCAGGAACGGCTGCTGGCACAGCAACAC